CTCAGTTTTACCTTCTTCCTCTTTCTTTGGGGTTAATACACATTTTTTTAAATTGTGTTTTGATATTCTTTCTCCTTTTTAAAATAATGATCTTCAGACAAAAACTCTCTTCTTTTTAGTGATGCAAATGTAGCATATATCCACAAGACTCAACTAAGTCACATTTTGGTAAGAGCAGGAAAACAAGGTTTTAAGATAATGGAAGCCTCAAATAAGAAAGAAAAAAAGAGAGAGTGTCTTGCTTCTCATTTATTGCTTCTCATTCTCATTTCTTTGTAGCAAAATTACTTTTTAAACTTCTCTCAAACCTACTATAGACATAAGATATGCTCCCTTTTGCCCTTTAACTCATCTCTACGTTACTCTACCCATTTCTTCTCTTCTATAGCTGCCAATATGGAGTAGTTTTGTGTCTATATTTTACTTTACCCCACACACATACATATTACCCCATGATTACCTTTTCTGACATTTCGCATATTTTGCCCCTGCACTAATATAAGACCATGGCCTATTAAGTGCATAAGCAACGGGAATTACATAAAGTGCAATTTCTCCCTATGCTTTTTATATGTGAGAGAGAGGTTTAAGAGAAACTGAATCCCAAACAGTTTTGTTTTTTTCATGGTCTAGGTGTGAGTACAATGATATTTGTCCACCTTCAGTGACCTGCATACAGAAGAATTTTAAGATGTGCCATTTAAGACAGTCATTTTTTCCTGAAAAATGGTAGCTTATGCTATAAATCAGAACAAAGCTTCCAGGAAAGAACATTATTCTTCTGAGTGATGAAAATGAACTCCTTTGTATTATATGTAATAGAAAGAAAGAATAGACTTCTAGGTTTCAGGCCTGCAGAATATATATTGCAGCTCAAGGCATGGGCAACCTGCCAATGATGTGGACTGATTATTTACCTAATGATTGTTCCTCAGCCCATTTTATGTGTGTGATGCATTATTGAGAGAGACCAACAAGGCAGAAATGGAAATTACATGGACCCAATGTGGTCATCTTCAACAATTTATATACAGAAAGCTCCTGGTACTGAAAATCTACTATTTAACTATAATGGATAGCATAGTACCAATACAAAATGAAACCAACAAATAAAGAAGGATAAAAATATTTCAAGAGTTTATTTAAGCTAGAATAGAAAGGCTGTTGTGGCTCCACTTCTGCTGCATTATTTATCTACAAAAGGTTGTAAAATCTTCAGTGAGGCTTTTTAAAAAATGTGATAGTAACAGTGATTTCAAATGTGAATTTCCTTCTTATTCCTTTATATTTTATTTATTTTTCAGCCATGGTCAGCTTCTGGGTTGTTTGGAAGAAACTTAACCAAAGTGGGAAGCTACTTTAATTTCATACAGTCCATAAAACAAGGGATGACTTACAGAGCAGCTTTCTCTAACTTAAGGCTTTGAAAATATAAAGCTCTGGGAGACTGAAATCACTAGATCTCCTGTGGTTTGCAGGATAATGGATTCATACTACTCTGCCAAAACATACGTACTTACTAAACAAGAATTTAGAACATTGTTGATCTCCAGAATGTGCAGAAATTAAGAATCAAAACAGGAGTTGAGCCGATATCAATGAATACTTCCCCCACTACCTCAAGTTTGAAGAACTGCAGAGTTTTTGTTTGAAAATAATGCCATGATTTCAAAATAAAAATCCCAGTTTTGATTACATAAATAAGATTTTAAGATGTCCAGCTTCTTTAGGCCATAAACTTTATTCTGTGTGTATGTTATCAGATACCTGCCTCGTCTAAATGGTTTGTCCATGTGGCTAAAGGATACTGACCAATCTGAAAGAAAATGATACCTCCCCAAACAATTTTTTACACAAAGATAAGTTTCATCTAATTATTGGCTATGTATCCAGTTCTCGGTATTGTTTGGATACCTCTTTTGTGAAACTGCTAAGCTAAAATAAAAGATGACTAGAAACTGAGTCTGTCGTAATAGTTCTATGACCTTCAAAAGCTATTCAAATTCTTCAAGCCTGTTTTCTTACTTGTTATGTGAGGCTAATAACATATACAACACTTGGTGTTTTTGTTTGTTTGTTTGTTTGTTTTGAGACAGAGTCTTGCTCTGCCAGCCAGGCTGGAGTGCAGTGGCATGATTTCGGCTAACTACAACCTCTGGTTCCCAGGCTCAAGCAATTCTGATGCCTCAGCCTCCCGAGTAACTGGGATTACAGGCATGTACCATCATGCCCGGCTAGTTTTTGTATGTTTTTTGTAGAGACAGGGTTTCACCATGTTGTCCAGGCTGGTCTGGAAATCCTGACCTCAGGTAATCTGCCCGCCTCAGCCTCCTAATGTGCTGGGAGGTGTGGGCAACTGCGCCTCACTAATACTTGGTTTTTAAAAGCAAAATGGATAATTACTCTAAGGCCCTTAATGCAGTACTCAGGGGGTAAAAAAAAAAACACAAAAAACTATAAAATTGTGTTAATTATAATAAAGAGTATGGTAGAAACATTCAATTTACAAATAGCAATAAATATAACAATATATAGATAAAACTTTGAAAGAAGTATTTGTGAAAAGTTATAAAATTTTATATGATTTAAAAAATACATTCAGTGAGTTTTCTTAAAGTGGCTTCATATTTTAAAGGTGTTGTTTCTTCCAAACCAATGCACAGATTTAATGCAATTCCAATGAAATCTATCTATCTATCTATCTATCTATCTATCTATCTATCTATCTATCTATTATCTATAACTCCAATGACTTTAATCAGTATAGGGTATATTTCTAGTTAGAATTTTATGATAATGTGCATTTTATTTGATTTTCTAGTCAACTGAGTTTAAACTTTACTATTATTTGTATGATAAAATATTAAGCACAAATCCAGCACTTAAGTGCAATAGCATATTTATGCCATTAATATAGTTCTGGTGTGTAGAAAACTATTCATAAAGTCTCAGTGTTATTATGATTCTCTTAGTGATATTTAAATTCTAAGTATGCACACTTTGAAGTATATTTTATAGAAAGAGAACAAAAAACTAAAGTGATTGGCTGAAGACAATAAAACTATAAAACAAAATATAGTAAAAAAAAGCAAATAGAAAATATCTGTTGTTTCTTTAAGGTTATTATCAGAATTAAAGAATAAAGTAAAGTTCTCATAATAGAAAATAATTTAGTGAAGTACTAAATGATACGTCTGGGAATATCAGTTTTGTTAGAAAATAGGCAGCTAGGAGACAGAAGGAATACCTATAGATTGAAATAATAAATCACCACAGCAAAATGTGCTTGTCATACTTGGAAAGCTAACTGGTTGAAAGATTTGGGTTAAACCAGTCTTAAAGCTTTTAATAAGAATGTGGTCATGTTTATTGACTGCTATTTTACTTACCATGCAAAGCATATTAGTTTTTAACATGCTTGATGATATAGTTTGCAAAGAATTGTCCAATAAGACATGCATTTTCAGCAAGAAAGTCGTCAGTTAAAAATATATTTGGAAATGAACAGTTTCAGGTGCACCTGTGGTGTGTAAAACTACAGGAATGACAACCTTTTATAAAAGGTATTACAATGCTGAACACATTAGCAGACACTGCATGCTTCTGTGGGACGTTCTTGTCTTAAGCTGCTTGCCATTTGAGCTCTTCAGTGTGATTCTGATGGTCAAATAAAGGTAATTAAAAATTATAATGAAATGTATAATGATTCTACAAATTTGTCTACTCAATCATATGCCAGCATAGTTGGGTATATTTGCTGTTCAGAATTTTCAAAGTTGACTTTTATAATATTTTTTCATGATGGGAAGAAGGATCATGATAAAAGATAAAAATTTATAGTTCAAAGATAAATGGATATCAGCAATTTCATATGGTTTAACTAAATAGAGAAGGAACAGCCACAACCATATGCAAGCATTAATATTCTCTGTTTAACTCAGTGATTGAGAGGCTCACCAAATTGGCTTATTTAGTTGTCATTGTTCTCTAGGTTTAACACTTCCAATGAACAACTGCAGTGTGAAGATATGTACATTTTTATTATTTGATAAAATAACTTTAATTAAAAAGAAACTTTGAGAGTCGAATGAAGAAAATTGACTGTGTAGACAATGAATCTTTTAAGACTCAGTTGTGAAATATCAGTGATAAAATAATCTTACACGACAATAAAAAAGTCATTTTATAAATATATCTTTGAAATAACAAAAGAGAATGCCTATTGAATTACTTCAATCTACCATTGCCCAAATGTCTTGACCTATGTTAGCCCGAAATTTTGACCCAGACTTCCTGCTTTGTCACATTCTGAACATTCTACTCGGTGATCACCCTGACATTCTACATGAAGCAGCAAAAAATTACATTTTAACTCACAGGTTCACTAGAAAGTGGTTAACCTTCAGAAACAAACTTTTCCAATCTTCATGGAGAGCTACCTCCTTCATTTATTAGAGCTACCTCCTTCATTCATATAGCTTACTCCTGTGCGTAAGCTCTGTTCTCTTTGATGAAGAAACCAGTGTTTAGACTGCAATTGTCCTAGCAAAGGACAACTACATTCTAAACTAATAAGAGCTCAAATCCCTGAAGTTTAGCAAGGCTTGGTTCCTTCTGTTTTTCTCTTCAGAAGGAAAAACTGACATAAAATGAAAATAATTTATATGATTGTAGATTCATAGAATTTTAGAGCAAAAAAAAAAACTCAGAAATGATCAAGCCCAGCTCTTAATTATTTTTTCCAGATGAGAAATTGAAGTGTAGAAAAGATGGTGATTGTCTTCAGATGATTCAGCTAGTATTGGAGTCATGACACCAGATAAAGTCTTCTGACCTTACTTTGTATACTAAAGAAGCCTAGAAAATTTTGAAGATCTTCTGAGAAATCTCTTGTTCAGTTAGGGACATATTTATGAGGTGATGCCCTTTAATAATTCTAGTTGTCCCTAGGCTTGATTCCTTGCAGCTTGATAAACTGATACATCTTCATTACTTTTAGGGACTTCCTGGAGAACTGTGGTTCTGTTTGTTAGACTCCTGATCTGGCGAGTGGTAAGAACATGTGAATTTACTATGTTGTTTAAAGATACTGTATATAGAGCAGCTGTCAGATTCCTTGGCTTCTTGGAGTGTCCTTTAGAGACACCCACTGGATTGCCTCTGGTTGAGAGTGGGGAAAACATTAATTTTTTTAAAAATTTTATCTCCTTTTCTTATCTTTTTTAAAAAATTATTATTATTATACTTTAAGTTCTAGGGTACATGTGCACAACTTGCAGGTTTGTTACATATGTATACATGTGCCATGTTGGTGTGCTGCACCCATTAACTCGTCATTTACATTAGGTATATCTCCTAATACTATCCCTCCCCCACCCCACAATAGGGGCCGGTGTGTAATGTTCCCCTTCCTGTGTCCAAGTGATCTCATTGTTCAGTTCCCACCTATGAGTGAGAACACACCAAGCACCTTACTATTTTTAAACAGGAGGAGCTTCAGAGTGACAATCTGGTTAAGAGTGTTTAGGGAGCTACCCTTAAGATGTATCAGTAACTTAGATTTTATACATATTTGGGATAGCTTGGCGTTGAAAGAACTGATAGAAATTATGGAAGGCCTCATTCTCACCCCTAGGTACCACTTCTTACTGGTTCTGGTAGCAACACATGCTGGCTTTAATCTAAGTGTCACTGGATACTGAACCCAAGAGTCCTCCTAGATTCTATTCTAAGCAGCAGCGCAGCATTTTCTTAGGAATTAAGTTCATTAACATTCTACTGATGCAATAAGATGGCCACACGTCATCACAAAATAAATATAAACTATGATTAAATCAGCCTTTATTATTACATGTATAAAACGGTCTGTTTTTGAAACTGAGGGCTAATGTTTTTAGTTGCTTGTTTTTTGTTGACTTAGCCTTCACTAGCTTCCTTATAGATGTCACCTCTGGTATATACATCAACTTGGTAACAATTTCTCAAGTTGTTTTTCAGGAACTTTGGGCAGCTCTTGTCCAGCCTGAACCATTTGAGACCAGTGAGCCTTCAACTGGGCCTGGGAAAATGCCCAAGAGGTGATTTTTTTGATGTCAGAGAATCAAACGCTCCTCCCTCAGGTTGTGCTAACGCTGCTGTTTTCTGAACATGAACCCTATGTGGAGCTGTGAACCCTGACTATGCTTTCTCAGATCACTGACTACCTCATTCTTCGTCACTGCTAGTCACCTTTCCCTATGCCTTAGACCACTCCACTTCTTTACCCCATAAATTCCCTAAGCCTTATCTTCAGAAAGACACATTTGATAACTTTCCTCCTCTCTCCTTATTGGGTTGCCCTGTGAACAAATATTTTCTCTACTGCAAAACTCACTGTTTTAGTGATTGACTTTCTGTGGGATGAGCAGAACAAGCCTACTTCAATATCATTTTTATTGTGTTTTTTATAAAGTGTTTCCCTGTCATTCAAGTCCAGGAAAATAATAAGCCAAGTTTTTAAATGGCATTATATCAGTAGAAGATTGCTTTTTACAGGATAGTTGTGGATAAAAATTATTCCTAACAACCTTTTCTGCATATATTAAGATGATCGGGTAGTTTTTTCTTTCATTTTGTTAACATGGTGTATTGTATTGATTAATTTGTGTATGTCGAGACATGCTTCCATCCCTGGGATAAATCCCACTCGGTCATGGTGTATGATCCCTTTAGGGTCCTGTTGAACTCAGTTTGCTAGTGTTTTATTAAAAATGTTTGCATGGCATATATTAGGGAAATTGGCCTGTAGCTTTCTTTTTTGAAGTGTCTGCCTTGTTTTGGTGTCAGGATGATGCTGGCCTCATAAAATGAGTTTGGAAGTGTTCTCTCTTCAGTTTTTGGAAGAAGTTAAGGATTGATATAAACTCTTCTTTCAGTGTTTGTTAGAATTCACTCACACAGCTGTCAGGTCCTGGGCTTTTCTTTGTTGGGAGATTTTTGATTACTGATTCAGTCTTCGTATTTATTATTAGTCTGTTCAGGCTTTCTATTTCTTCCTGCTTTGGTATTTGTAGTGTATATGTTTCTAATAATTTATTCATTCCTTGTAGGTTATCCAGCTTGTGGCCATATAACTGTTCATAATTTTCCTTTGTGATCCTTTTTATTTCTGAAACATTTATTGTAAAGCCTCCTCTTTTATTTCTGATTTTTGAGTCTTCTCTATCTTTTCTTAGTTAGTCTAAGTAAGGGTTTGTTGATTTTATTTATCTTTTAAAAAAGCCAACATATAAAAATCAATCATGTTTCCATTCATAAAAAACAAACTATCCGAAAAGGAAGTTAAGGAAACAATGCCATTCACAATAGCAACAAAAATAATAAAATTTTTAGGAATAAACTTAACCAAAGAAGTGAAAGACTTTTATACTTAAAATTATTAAATTTTGATGATGAAATTTATCAAAATATTATAATATTTGATGATGAAAATTATAAAATATGACAAAATTAAAGAAGACACGGGTAAATGGAAACATTGTATATTTATATATTTGAAGAATTAATATCATTAAAATGTTCCTACTACCCAAAGTGGTCTACATGGTTTTTTTTTTGGCATGAATGTTTATCACAGCTTTATTTGTAATAGTCCCAAACTGGAAATAACCCAGACATCCATCAACAAGTAAATGGATAAATAAATTGTTGTATATCCATGGAAAATAACATAACTCGGCAATTAAGAGGAATGAACCACTGATACAGGAAACAACCTGAATGGATCTAAATATTATGCTGAATGATAATTCAGACCAAAAAGGCTACACACTGTTTATTCCAATTTATATAGAATTCTAGAAAAGACAAAAATAATCTGTAGCGACAGAAAGCAGACAAGTGTTTACCTAGAGAATGGAGTAAAAGAAGACACAGATTACAAAGGGTCTCGGGGAAACTATGGAGAATCATGGAAATGTTTGCTGTATTGATTGTGATAATTACATAGGTGTGTACATGTGTCAAAACTGATCAAATTCAAACTTCAAATATGTGCAGTTTTTGTACTTCAAATTTACATCAATGAAGTTGTATCAAAAAAGTGGAGAGAAGAGAATCCAACTTATTGACAAAAGCAATGGGTGTCTATCGTTTCTGCTTCCAGCCATACAGGGGACTAGAAAAACTGATCTTTTCACTGCAAAACATTTAGAAATGATGAACAGCTATTACAGCCATCCTCTAAAGTATATAGTTTGGGCTTCCCTTCAGTGGAGAGAGGTTGGTAGTCCCTTTAGCAAGGAGCTTTGGATTTGACAGTCACTTGTCCACAAGTGATTGTCAAATCACTGGCCCTTACAGGGTAGGATTCTGGAATGAGACTGCCCTACATTCCTGAGATCACTGAAGGCCTGCATCCTTAGTGAAAGGCTGGACTAGAAAAAAAATTCACTGTTGGGCCGGGATGAAAATAAGGAAGCCGGGCCAGATGCGGTCACTCATGCCTATAATTCTAGCACTCTGGGAGGCCAACTTGAAGTCAGGAGTTTGAGACCAGCCTCGCCATCATAGCAAAACCCTGTCTCACTAAAAAGACAAAAAATTAGCTGGGCATGGTGGCACGTGCCTGTAGTCCCCAGGAGGCTAAGGTAGGAGGATCACTTGAACATGGAAGGTAGAGGTTGCCGTGAGCCAACATCAGGCTGCTGACTCCAGCCCAGCCTGGGTAACAGAATGAGAGTCTGTCTTAAAAAAAAAAAAAGCGCTTATAGGTGTTGTTTGCCTCTCAGAACATGTAACCACAGCCTATCCCTCATATGGACTTAGGATTTTATATCTTTCTTTGTATATTTTTTGCGTATTTTTATTGTTAATATAATTGTTAATCATTATCACAATTCAGCAAATTGGATATTATGGTCCTGATTGTATCCAGGAAATAAGCTTTTATTTTTAAATTCCCATAGGTTTTAGGGGAACAGGTGGTATTTGGTTACATGGGTAAGTTCTTTATTAGTGATTTGTGAGATTTTGGTGTACACACTAAACCCAATTTGTAGTTTATTTTATCCTTCAGCCCCCTTTCCACAAGTTTCCAAAGTGCATTGTATCATTCTTATGCCTTTGCATTCTCCTGGCTTAGCTCCCACTTATGAGTGAGAACATACAATGTTTGCTTTTCCATTCCTGAGTTGGTTCACATAGAATAATAGTCTCCAATTCCATCCAGGTTGCTGCAAATGCCATTAATTCATTCCTTTTTATGGCTGAGTAGTATTCCACCAGATATATATGCCACATTTTTTAAATCCACTCATTGATGGATGGACATTTGGGCTTGTTCTATATTTTTGAATTTGCAAATTGTGCTGCTATAATCATGCATGTGCAAGTATCTTTTTCATATAATGACTTCTTTTCCTCTGAGTAGATACCCAGTAATGGAATTGCTGGATCAAATGGTAGATCTGCTTTTAGTTCTTTAAGGAATCTCCACACTGTTTTCCACAGTTGTTGTACTAGTTTACATTCCCACTAGTAGTATAGTGTTCCCTTTTCACCACATCTACACTAACATTTATTATTTTTTGATTTTTCAGTTATGGCCACAACAGCATGGTACTGGTATGAAAACAGGTACATAAACCAATGGAACAGAATAGAGAACCCAGACGTAAACCCAAATACTTATTGCCAACTGATCTTAGTCAAAGCAAACAAAAACATAAAGTGGAGAAAGGACACCATATTCAACAAATGGTGCTGGGATAATTGGCAAGCCGAATGTAGGAGAATGAAAGTGGATCCTCATCGCTTATCTTATACAAAAATCAACTCATGACGGATAAAGGACTTAAATCTAAAACCTGAAACTATAAAAATTCTAGAAGACAATATCGGAACAACCCTTCTAGAAATTGGCTTATGCAAAGATTTCATGACCAAGAACTCACAGGCAAATGCAAGAAAAACAAGGATAAATAGGTGGGACTTAATTAAACGAAAGAGTTTCTGCACAGCAAAAGAAACAGTCAGCAGAGTAGACAACCCACAGAGGGGGAAAAAATCTTCAC